CTTGATCCTGGGCATGGTGACAGTGGGCGGTCTGGCTTTGGCAGTGAAGCTGTGAGAAGAGCCTCTCTCCAGCACATGTCTGGTGTACGGCATGAACTTGAGACCATCAGAGCCGAACACGAAGTCCTGTCTGAGAGCGTCGATCAGGAGCAGCACCACACGGCTGAACAGAGGAGCCGGGGCTCGCGACGAGTTCACGCCGTCTCCTGGAACACACACACACACACACACACACACCATCAAAGTGTTGCATTATTGTCCTGTTATCTCTGTAAAGCTGCTTTGAAATTAAGGAGACTTGACCATTCAGCTGTAGATGTGTGTGCTCAACATGCTGAAGAATAATGAGCATCTAAAGAGTCTAAATATAATTATGAACTCAATTATAAATAATTAAATAACGTATAACTTAATAAATTAATATAAAACACATACAATTATACTTATTATATATAATTATATTCTAAAAATAACAACTATAAACAATATGTATAAAGATTTACCTGTGTGTGGCTCTGCAGGAAAGTCAGTCAGTTTGCTCTTGGCTGAAAAGGAGGATTTGACAGGAACAGGGAAGAATCCTCTCAGGAAAAGAGCGACTGACAAAATCTCAAATATGAGACACAATAAAGCAAATACTGATGAGCTCAGCTTCATGATGAAGATTAATACATTAATATCACTTATTCACATAAGACAACACAAACACTGTCGCCTGTCTTATTTCTCACTGCCCGCAATATGAGGCATTTTGAAGAGAAACGGCACTAAATCCACACGATTAATGAAGACTCTGCCGGATTAGTGTTTTAAAATTCTCATTTCCGTGTTGTGAAGGGAGAATCTACGGCAACCCACAAGGATCTTTTCTCACATTTTTCAACGTTTCAGCAGACTCTTATTTTGTAATCAGAGCCAAAACTCTTAATTTACGTTTTCATTATATTACATAAAGTTCTAAATGATCTAAAATTGTTTTATAAATTATATAGTAAAAAACTATAAAAAAATAAAATAAAACATGTCTCTTACTAAATTAAAACAAGAACAGTTGTAGACAGTTATTATTTTTTTTTTTTTTATGTTTACATTTTAACTAATTAGCTGACAGGGAGATAAATACGTTTTTAATAAACACGCAATTGTTGAAAATTATATTATTATATAATGTATTACATTATATTAATTACGACGATAAGCTCCATTAAAAGCCACAGTGTGAGGTCATCAGTGGCTGTCATGGTAACATTTGTTTGTAATGTTTTTTATTCACTTTTCGCCCCCATCTAACAAGCGTTTCATCCGTTAGGAAAGAAAACCGTGGAAATAATCTACGCATTATGCTTTTTCTTACACTGCTGCTGATGGTGAAAAATAAAGTGTGTTTGTAAGCAGTGATTTGGTGGTTCTGTGGGGGGAAATCATAGAGGGGGAAATGGAGAAAATCAAAACCTCGAAGTTTCTCAATGCAATAACCGAGAATTATAAAGAAGAGATGATGCAACCAGGTGAGTCAAACACGTCATCGGAGATGTGTATTTCATTTACACTATCAATCAAACGTTTTGGATCGGCAAGATTTATATGTTTTTAAAATAATCCTCTTCTGCTCACCAAGGCTGCATTTATTTGATTAAATTACACACACGAAATATAGTTAAATATTATAAGAATTTAAAAGAACTGTTTTCTATTTTGATATATTTTAAAATTTATTCCCGTGATGAAAGCTGAATTTTCAGTCTTCGGTGTCACATGATCCTTCAGAAATCTGATGAACAAGAAACAGTTCTGATTATTATCAATATTAAAAACAGTTATTTACATTTTTATTTCAAAGTTTGGGGTCAGTTGTAAGAACTTTTATTTTATTTTCTGGGGGAAATAAATAAATAAAATAAATACTTTTATTCATCAATGATGAATTAAATCGATCAAAAGTGACAGTAAAGACATTTAAAATGTTCATTTTCAATGACATTTTCATATCAGTGCTGTTCTTTTGAAATTTGTATTTATCAAAGAATCCTGAAAAAAATATTATTATTATTATTGCATAAAATCCATATATTACAGTGATTTCTGAAGGATCACGTGACACTGAAGACTGGAGTAATAATGCTGAAAATTCAGCTTTGATCACAGGAATAAATTACACTTATATTAAAATAGAAAACAGTTATTTTAAATTGTCAATATATTTAACAATATTACTATTTTTTATCAAATGAATGCAGCCTTGGTGAGCAGAGGATGCTTATTTTTTTAAAAATAAAAATCGTAACAATCCAAAACTTTTTACTGATAGTGCATATGTATATACAAAGCAAATTCCCCAGTGTTAAATTAACGAATTATATAAACTCTGAGTGTCAAATAAACACTGAAGCAGTGTTAAAGTTAATGAGATAATTAAGTGACTAACTGAGTGATGATTGAGCATTATTGAAGACACCTGACTCTAAAGTTAATGATTTAAAGGTCAAGAGCCCAACTAAAACAAACACTGATCATCATAATGGTGACTTAAAATTCTGGTTTTCTCCTTCGGTGATTCTGCTTGTTAACATCAGGTGTCTTCAATAATGCTCAATCATCACTCAATTACCTCATTAACTTTGACACTGCTTCAGTGTTCATTTAACACTCTGCTATATATATATATATTATATAAGATGCATATCTCTGATCATATATATTTATACACACACACACATTAGATCATCCATATATATTGATTGTGTTTGAGTTTAGCAGAGACCAGTGCTGAGTCCGTGGAGAAGACAGTGATTCTGCTTAAAGAGAAAGCAGAAAGTGGAGATTCTCAAGCCGCCTTCCTCCTGGGACAGTTACACTATGAGGAGGTGATGATGCCTAAAGTCTCTCTCATTTAATCTATGTGGGAATGTGACCTATGACCCGTGACTGTTCTTCAGGGCCGCTTCACAGAAGCAGAGATCATCTTCGACGGCATTAAAGATGAAGATCCCCGAGCTCTATATCAGCTGGCGGTCATGTATTACGATGGACTTGGAACCAAAGAAGACCTTGTGAGGACCTTCTTATTTACGATATCTCTCAGATCCACAGTAATAATAGGATTTTTGTATGTTACACATTTACAAACGCCTGCAAAAGCAACTAAAATTGGAGCGCAACAGTCGGAAGTCAACTCCATTCATTTTCCCCATTTGAAAACCTTTAAAGACAGCCCAACTGTGAGCTACGAGGATGTTAATCGATGGTATTTGCTTCTGTTGAAACTGTTAGCTTGCATGAATTCAACTTATTTATGAAAGAAATGCTTTCCACATCTAAATTTGTGGTGATAAACTACATTACCCATAATGCTGTACAGAAAATTTGAGTCGAGAGAGGCAAAACAGCTCTTTAGCTCCGCCCACTCCCATAAACTAGCTCTCTACACTCAAAATACTGAAATGTTTGTATATGCATATTTTGCAATGAACTTAAATATTTATATTGTTTTTATATATTATATTATAGTTCGTCCGTTTTTTAGTTTGTGTCATTCACATGCTTCATGGGATTGTAGTTCTTTCCCTCACTGAAGTCCTCACACAGTCTTGTGTTTTTGTCTGATTTTCAAACACGTTTTTTGCTTCAAACCAAAGTTTGCAGTGTTGTGATTTTTCTCGCAGCTGATTGGCTCGGTTCATGGCTTATCCGACTATTTTAAAATCTCTATGGAAGAAAATTAATGGAAAAAAATACTTCCGGGAAAGGGGACGGACACTGTTACACTATTAAAGTCTCACTGTTCATATGAAAACCACCAACTTTAACAGGGCAAAGCAATAGAGTTGATGAGAAGAGTTGCATTGTGGGATTCCTCACACGCGGGCTCTGTCAGACACGCGGCGCTGTATAACCTGGGCCGGGCGTATCTGGAGGGTCACGGGGTCCAGGCGTCCAGCGCTGAAGCAGAGCGGTGAGAAACTAACACACAAAACACAAACCATAGATCGTGTCACAATATATCGCATTACAAAAATGCAGCTTTGCATTTTTTTATTTATTTTGGGTGAACTGTACACAACACATAATGTCACTATCCACAATACATATTGTTGCATTTTTGTATTGTCATATATTGTGACATGATCTATTGTGACGCCGCTAGTAGGAATTTGTGTGATTTGGGACGGTGCCCTGTGTGTTCCCGCAGGCTTTGGCTCCTGGCAGCTGATGAGGGGAACCTGAACACTAGTGTGGAGGCGCAGTCGTCTCTCGGCATGTTCTACTGCAGACCCGAGACCCTCGACCTCACCAAGGTCCTGAGATCATCCATGACCTCCGCTTGCAGTCGCACAACCAGAGAATCAGCACTGGGTTCCTTTGGGAATCTAATGGGATTTTCGAATAGTGATTTATGAGGGGATAGGCTTGTGGTTGGCAAGTAAACTTGCAATTACGATAAAGTCAGAATTGCGAGATAAAAACTCGCAATTGAAATAAAAACGTCAGAATTGCGGGATATAAACTCGCAATTGGAATAAAAACGTCAGATTTGTGGGATATAAACTTGCTATTACGATAAAAAAAGTCACAATTGTGCGATATAAACTCACAATTACAAAAAAGTCAGAATTTCGAAATGTAAACTCTCAATTGCAATGAAATTCAGAATTGCGAAACGTAAACTCACAATTTTGATGAAAAATTCAGAATTGCGAAACGTAAACTTGCAATTGTGATGAAAAAGTCAGAATTGCGAAACGTAAACTCGCAATTGTGATGAAAGTCAGAATTGCGAAACGTGAACTCGCAATTGCGATGAAAAAGTCAGAATTGCAAAAAGTAAACTCGCAATTGCGATAAAAAAGTCAGAATTGCGAAACGTAAACTCGCAATTGCGATGAAAAAGTCAGAATTGCAAAAAGTAAACTCGCAATTGCGATGAAAAAGTCAGAATTGCGAAACGTAAACTCGCAATTGCGATGAAAAAGTCAGAATTGCAAAAAGTAAACTCGCAATTGCGATGAAAAAGTCAGAATTGCGAAACGTAAACTCGCAATTGCGATGAAAAAGTCAGAATTGCGAAACGTAAACTCGCAATTGCGATGAAAGTCAGAATTGCGAAACGTAAACTTGCAATTGCGATGAAAAATTCAGAATTGCGAAACGTAAACTCGCAATTGCGATGAAAAAGTCCGAATTGCGAAACGTAAACTTGCAATTGTGATGAAAAAGTCAGAATTGCGAAACGTAAACTCGCAATTGTGATGAAAGTCAGAATTGCGAAACGTGAACTCGCAATTGCGATGAAAAAGTCAGAATTGTGGGATAAAAACTTGTAATTACGATAATGTTAGAATTGTGGGATATAAACTCGAAATTGCAATAAAAAAAGTCAAAATTGTGGGATATAAACTTGCAATTAGGATAGAAAAGTCAAAATTGTGGGATATAAACTCACAATTACAATAAAGTCAGAATTGAGAAATGTAAACTCGCAATGGCGATGAAAAAGTCAGAATTGCGGGATAAAAACTTGTAATTACAATAATGTTAGAATTGCGGGATATAAACTCGCAATTGCAATAAAAAAGTCAAAATTGTGGGATATAAACTTGCAATTAGGATAGAAAAGTCAAAATTGTGGGATATAAACTCACAATTACAATAAAGTCAGAATTGCGAAATGTAAACTCGCAATTGCGATGAAAAAGTCAGAATAGCGAAACGTAAACTCGCAATTGCGATGAAAAAGTCAGAATTGCGAAACGTAAACTCGCAATTGCGATGAAAAAGTCCGAATTGCAAAAAGTAAACTCGCAATTGCGATGAAAAAGTCAGAATTGCGAAACGTAAACTCGCAATTGCGATGAAAAAGTCAGAATTGCAAAAAGTAAACTCGCAATTGCGATGAAAAAGTCAGAATTGCGAAACGTAAACTCGCAATTGCGATGAAAAAGTCAGAATTGCAAAAAGTAAACTCGCAATTGCGATGAAAAAGTCAGAATTGCGAAACGTAAACTCGCAATTGCGATGAAAAAGTCAGAATTGCGAAACGTAAACTCGCAATTGCGATGAAAGTCAGAATTGCGAAACGTAAACTTGCAATTGCGATGAAAAATTCAGAATTGCGAAACGTAAACTCGCAATTGCGATGAAAAAGTCCGAATTGCGAAACGTAAACTTGCAATTGTGATGAAAAAGTCAGAATTGCGAAACGTAAACTCGCAATTGTGATGAAAGTCAGAATTGCGAAACGTGAACTCGCAATTGCGATGAAAAAGTCAGAATTGTGGGATAAAAACTTGTAATTACGATAATGTTAGAATTGTGGGATATAAACTCGAAATTGCAATAAAAAAAGTCAAAATTGTGGGATATAAACTTGCAATTAGGTTAGAAAAGTCAAAATTGTGGGATATAAACTCACAATTACAATAAAGTCAGAATTGAGAAATGTAAACTCGCAATGGCGATGAAAAAGTCAGAATTGCGGGATAAAAACTTGTAATTACAATAATGTTAGAATTGCGGGATATAAACTCGCAATTGCAATAAAAAAGTCAAAATTGTGGGATATAAACTCGCAATTATGATAGAAAAGAAAAATTGTGGAATATAAACTCACAATTACAATAGAGTCAGAATTGAGAAATGTAAACTCGCAATGGTGATCAAAAAGTTATAATTGCGGCATAAAAACTTGTAAATATCTTGTAAAGATAATGTTAGAATAGCGGGATATAAACTCGCAATTTCAATAAAAAAGTCAGATTTGCGGGATATAAACTCACAATTACAATTAAGTCCGAATTGTGGGATATAAACTCGCAAAAGTCAGAACAGCGGGATATAAATTTGCAATTGCGATGAAAAAAAAGTAAGAAATCCGGGGGATATAAACTTACAATTATGATGAAAAGAAAAGTCAGAATTGTGGGATATAAACTTGCAATTGCGATAAAAAAAAATCGGAATTGTGGGATACAAACTCCAATAAGGATGAAAAGTCACATGATCCTTCAGAAATCACTCTAATATGATGATTTGATGCTCAAGAAACATTTATGATTATTATTAATGTTGAAAACAGTTTCATATTTTAGTGGAAACCTTTATTTTTCAGAATTGTTTAATGAATAGTAAGTAAACAAAAGTAACTTTATAAATGTCTCTAAATAAAAGTATTAATTTAATCTTCCAGACCAACAGTAGCGCATCTCTCAGAGTCGTTTCTGAAATCATCGCTCAGGGAAGTGTAATGCATGTTTTGCAGATGTAGTAAACCTGAGAGTGTGTGTGTGTCAGGCGTTCTCGTGGCACTCGGAGGCGTGTGGGAACGGCAGTGTGGAGTCTCAGGGCGCTCTGGGAGTCATGTATCTGCACGGCCTCGGTGTGCAGAAGGACCCGGACTCGGCCCTGTTCTGCCTGAAGGCCTCGGCCGAGAGAGGGAACGTTTACGCTCAGGGTCATCTGACGGCCTGCTACTACCAGCGCAAACTCTACTCCAGAGCCGCAGCACTGGGAGAACGGTACACACACACACATAATCCGTTAGTAATCGTATTAGACTGAAAAGATTCAGCATGTAATGACTGGTTTTGGTTGTTCCCAGAGTGTGTGGATACGAGGACACGAGCGCCATCGCGAGACGGACCGGCTGTCTGGAGGAGTTCATCAGGAAGGGCATCACTATTGCCATGTTTTACTTCGCACGCTGCCTTTATCTGGGCCGAGGGGTCCCGCAGAACAGAGACAGGGCCAAAAGATACTTCACACAGGTACACTAAAGTGCAAATAGTGGAAATGTTTAAAAAAAAATTTTCTTTGCAGTAAGTGTCTGTTATAATGCATTTCTAAATGCCCTGCTGCTGAGAAGTGATGTGGGAAATATTCTGACTTTTGAATTGCAGTTCAGAGATTATCTCTCAAAAATGATGCCGTACGTAAACTCACAATTGCGATATAGTCAGAATTGCGAAATATAAATTTGCAATTGCGATAAAAAAACAGATTTTAAAAAACTTGCAAGTGCAATAAATAAGTTAGAATTGGGCTATATAAACTCACAATTACGATTAAAATGTCAGTATTATGAGATGTAAACACATTTGATTAAAAAAAACAGAATTGTGGGCTACAAAAACTTGCAATTGCGATAAAAAAAGTCAGAATTGTGGGATGTAAACTGCATTTTTAATTATGATTTAAAAGCCAGAATTATAGGTATGAACACATTTGCAATAAAAAAGTCAGAATTGTGGGATATACACTTGCAATTACGATAAAAAAGTCAGAATTGCGGGATTTAAACTTGGAATTGATATAAAAGTTAGAATTGTGCGATATACACTTGCAATTACGATAAAAAAGTCAGAATTGTAGTATAAAAACTCGCAATTGCGATTAAAAAAATTCCGAATTGTGGGATTTAAACTCGAAATTGCGATAAATTCAGAATTGTGGGATATAAATTCGCAATAACTATAAAATGTCTGAATCGTGGGATATAAACTTGCAATAACAAAGAAAAGTCAGAATTGTGGGATATAAACTTGCAATTGCGATTAAAAAATTCAGAATTGTGGGATATAAATTCGCAATAACGATAAAAAGTCTGAATTGTGGGATTTAAACTCGAAATTGCAATAAATTCAGAATTGTGGGATATAAATTCAAAATAACTATAAAAAGTCTGAATCGTGGGATATAAACTTGCAATAACGATGAAAAGTCCGAATTGTGCGATATAAACTTGCAATTACGATAAGTTCAGAATTGCGGGATATAAATTCGCAATAATGATAAAAAGTCAGAATTGTGGGATATAAACTTGCAATTGCGATAAGTTCAGAATTGTGGGATATAAATTCGCAATAATGATAAAAAGTCTGAATTGTGCGATATAAACTTGCAATTACGATAAGTTCAGAATTGCGGGATATAAATTCGCAATAACGATAAAAAGTCTGAATTGCGGGATATAAACTTGCAATTGCGATAAATTCAGAATTTTGGGATATAAATTCGCAATAACGATAAAAAGTCTGAATTGCGGGAGTACTTTCAGAACTTCAGCCAGCTCCTCGTTTCCTGTCTGTCATTATTGGACAAACTTGATTAATCCAGGTGTGCCTGACCTCAGTAGTCACAACAACAATAATCAGGCACACCTGAATTAATCAAGTTTGTCCAATAATGGCAGACAGGAAACAAGGAGCTGCATGGCTGAAGTTCAGGATACAAACTCCAATAACGATGAAAAGTCCAAATTGCGGATAATGTGAGCGATCTGTACTGTAAAGCTGACTGGATTCTCTCGTTGTCGTCAGGCTGCCAGCATGGATCCGTCAATCTGTCAGGAGCTGCAGATGAACGTCGTACACGGCAGAATATAAACCACACGATCACTCGTTTCATCTCAGAGAAGTTCAGGATTATTTCTGTGTGATGATATAAAGATGATCCACAGAGAGGATAGTTTAAAACGCATGTGCCAAATTCTCACAAATGTAATCGGTTAAATGTTTTTATGAAAAAAGTTCAGCTAATATCTTGAATATGTGTGTGTACATATAAAATGTATTATTTTTCAAAAAGTTTTCAAACATATTTTTTAATGAATGTTATAAATATTTTAAAACTACAACATAACTTTTTCTTTCTTTGAAACCATTACGCGTATAAATACATCAACTGGATGTTATTTAATTCCCCACAAAAGAAGAAAGAATACAATAAAAAACAACAAAAAAAAAATATTTAATTTAGAAATTGAAGTACTCACTAAATTGTATTCAAGTTCAAGTTATGAATTGCATTTTAATGTACATATTTAATATTTTACTATATTGAAGACATGACACATGACAGATCTTCTTTTGCAATTTATTGCTTATAAATGCTCTAGCCTATTTTTGGTAAAAATAAAAGTCTATAATAATAATAATAATAATAATATCACAAACAGAACCTTCACAATAACTGTACATGACATATTGCACGATTAAAAGCCTTCATAATGGTCACAATAATATGTAGAGCGTTTACATTGGTCTGGCTTCGTCTTTTTACACTCATAATTCACATTACAAAGCAAAACCCCCTAGAAGAAAAAAGGAAAGAGAGAAGCAGAAGATGACAGCTGGCAGTGAGTGACCGGGCCTGTTCCTCCAAAAACACAAGAACAGATTAAAACACACACACACACACACACACACACTCAGGCCTGGACGGCGTCGACGCTCAGCTCAGGATACAGCTCTTTCAGAAGCATCTCCAACAAGATCTGAAGACAGAGAGAAAACATTCATCATGTCCTCCACTAGATGGCGCTACAGTATCATCACACACACACACACACTACAGGACACACTCGGAAAATCAGAATATGGTTCAGTAATTCAACTTAAAAGCTAAATCTAATATATTATATAGACTCATTAGATGCAAAGTGAGATATTTCAAGCCTTTATTCGTTATAATTATGATGATTATGCATTACAGCTTATGAAAGTCCCAAAGTCAAAATTAGAATATTGTGAAAAGGTTTTCATCATATCTGTAATCCATGATCATCAAGAAGGCTTGAGAAGTGTGTATTTCCTCTGAGTAACGAGCACTGATGATCTTTCAGCGAGTAAAGCTCAGGGTTTCAGAGAGAGCGTCAGCTGACGGAGAGAAAGTGTGACGGAGTGTGTGTGTGTGTGACTCACGTAGAGGAGATGTCTGTTGGCTCGGGTCTCCTGAAGGGCGTTGAAGATCTTGATGATGCCGTATCGGGCGTTCTGCTGCCCGACCAGATTCTGCAGCGCGTCTGAACAACGACAACAAGCGTTTCTGATCATAATCCACAGTCTCAGCCGACCAATCACAGACTCGCTCGCTGCAGCCTGTGTGTGTGAGTGTGTGTGTGTGAGTGCGTGTCTGTGTGAGTGAGTGAGTGAGAGAGAGAGAGTGAGTGAGTGTGTGTGTGTGTGTGTGTGTGTGAGAGAGAGTGCGTCTGTGTGAGTGAGTGAGTGAGAGAGAGAGAGTGTGTGTGTGTGTGTGTGAGTGAGTGAGTGAGTGAGTGAGTGAGAGAGAGAGAGAGTGTGAGTGTGCGTATGTTTGTGTGTGTGTGTGTGTGTGTGTGAGAGAGAGATAGAGAGAGTGTGTGTGTGTGTGTGTGTGTGTGAGTGAGAATGTGTGCGTGAATGAGAGAATTGTGTGTGTGTGTGTGTGTGTGTGTGAATGAGAGAATTGTGTGTGTGTGTGTGTGTGTGTGCATATGGGTGTGTAAGTGTACGTATGTGTGAGTGTGTGTGCGTGTGTGTGTGTGTGAGAGAGAGAGAGAGAGAGAGGGAGAGTGTTTGTGCATGTGAGTGAGAGAATCAAGTGTGTGTGTGTGTGTGTTTGTGAGTGTGCGTATGTTTGAGTGTGTGTGTGTGTGTGTGAGAGAGAGAGAGAGAGTGAGTGTGCATGTGAGGGAGATAATTGTGTGTGTGAGTGAGTTTGCGTATGTGTGAGTGTGTGTGTGTGTGCGTATGTGTGTGTGTGTGTGTGTGTGTGTGTGTGTGTGTGTGTGTGTGAGAGAGAGAGTGAGTGTGTGTGTGAGAGTGTGAATCCTGACTAAACGTGAAATTTTTTCAGTGTGTGTGTGTGTGAGTGTGTGTGTGTGTGAGCGCTCACCCGGGATGTTGTCCAGAAGCTTCTGCTGCGCTCTCTCCTTGGTCTCCTTGCGTTCGCTCTCGGAGCGGCTTCTGTTATGAGGCGCCAGCTTCCCGTTGGGCCAGAACGTGTCCCGAAACACATTAATGTAGTAGACCAGCATCTGCTCGCTGAAGATCCAGTGAACCGTGTCTCGGATCTGCCTGAGAGAGAGAGAGAGAGCCAATCAGTGACAGATCCAGCAGGTCACATGACCAGCGTCCAGCTCTGCTTACTTGTTTATGGTGCGTCCAAACGTGACCTGGACTAGTGCAATTAGAGTCTTCCTCACCCACTTAAACACTGCCGAGAGAAACACACACACACACACACGGGGACGTTACTCCATCTGATCCACATGCTTAGAAAAAGATGATTTCAGAAATCTAGAGTTCTAGACTCAACGTTAAAGACGACTTACGTCACGAGGGCTCTGGATAACGTTTGCGTGATGCTTTCAGTATTAATGGAGGAATTTTAAAACAGAAACTTTCCACTTATTTTAGTTTATTGCAAAGGCAGCATTTTTAATTTCATTTTTCAACTAATATTCATATTTTATTTTATTTAAAATATATTCAAATCATATTCTGCTTTATTTAAATGAACAGAAATGTTTTTAATAGTGTGAAGCATTAGCCGTTAGTTCGTCACACGGTCCGGCGGTCACAGATGTGTTGAGTTTCACAGCCACAGACGCGAGAGATCAACGTTTCATCACTGCGGGTGACGTGTGTGTGTGTGTGTGTGTGTGTGTGTGTGTGTGTGTGTGTGTGTGTGTGTGTGTGTGTGTGTGTGTCTGTTTCTGGCAAGCGGCAACCTCCCGTTCTCTCTTGATTCAACACTGAAGAGAGTTAAAGTGCAGTTCAGCGACTGGCCACTAGAGGCGCTGCAGAAGAGAGTCAATCCCATAAACCCCCATGTTAAAATGGCCAACTTTACAGCAGAATAAAACATGTTTACAGTCTTTTGGTCTATATCGCTAATGTTGACGACTGTGAGAGGGGTGAATGTTTTTATAACTCATCCGTTTAAATTATATTAAGCCTTAAAGTTGTGCATAATTAAGGGCGTGGCCACTTGAGTGACAGGTGGATTGCCGCTGATGTCACTACTAGCCGTTTGTCTGTTAGCGGTCACCTCAGCTAATCGTCTCGCTGCACATTTTCGTTTATCCGGGAGTGACGCTGCCAAGATGGCGACGGCCGGCTCCGCCCACTCTGGGCTTCAAAAACGCTCTTCAGAAACACTACGGGTGACGTCACACACACTAGTCGATGGTTGTTTGGTTTGTACTCACTGCCCCTGAGCTCAAAGATCTCCCCGATCAGCATGAAACACGGCTCCGCCAGCGCATCCTTCCTCCCGTCGGTCTCGTCACCGTAATCTGAGAGATCACTGTCATCCTCGGCCTCGTCCTGACACACACACACACACACACACACACACACACACACACATCACATCTGATCTGAAAATCTGGAGCATAAAATATGAAGAAACTAATGGCCAATGAAGTTAAAAATAATAATACAAAAAATATATTGAGGGAAAATAGTTTAATTTTTCTTTATTTTCAGGAACAAATTTATTAGACAATTATTATATTGTACATGTATGTTGTTTTAAAGACATTTAATACATACTTTGTGAGTGAGTGAGTGTGTGTTTGTGTGAGGGAGTCAGTGAGTGAGTCAGTGAGTGAGTCAGTGAGTCAGTGAGTGAGTCAGTGAGTCAGTGAGTGAGTGAGTCAGTGAGTGAGTGAGTCAGTCAGTGAGTGATTCAGTGAGTGAGTGAGTCAGTGAGTGAGTGAGTCAGTCAGTGAGTGATTCAGTGAGTGAGTGAGTCAGTGAGTGAGTGAGTCAGTGAGTCAGTGAGTGAGTGAGTGAGTGATTCAGTGAGTGAGTGAGTGATTCAGTGAGAGAGTGAGCCAGTGATTGAGTGAGTGATTCAGTGAGTGAGTCAGTGAGTCAGTCAGTGAGTCAGTCAGTGAGTGAGTGAGTGAGTCAGTGAGTGAGTGATTGATTCAGTGAGTGAGTGATTCAGTGAGAGAGTGAGCCAGTGAGTGAGTGAGTGAGTGATTGAGTGAGTGATTCAGTGAGTGAGTCAATGAGTCAGTCAGTGAGTCAGTCAGTGAGTGAGTGAGTGAGTGAGTCAGTGAGTGAGTGATTGATTCAGTGAGTGAGTGATTCAGTGAGAGAGTGAGCCAGTGAGTGAGTTAGTCAGTGAGTGAGTGAGTGAGTGATTGAGTGAGTGATTCAGTGAGTCAGTGAGTGAGTGAGTCAGTGAGTGAGTAAGTGAGTGAGTGAGTCAGTGAGTGAGTGAGTCAGTGAGTGAGTGAGTGAGTGAGTCAGTGTGTGTGTGTGTGTGTACCTCCTGGTGTGAGAAGAAGTCTCCCGGCAGTTTCTCCAGGAAGGATGCGAGAGAGAACGAGGATTTCTTCTGGATGTCGATGACCTTCAAGTATTCAGGAGACGGACTGAGAAACGCATACAACGCCTCGCTCTGACACATGCGCTCGTCCGTCAAAACTTTCTACAGAGGAAACAAACACACACACTCACATGAGGCCAGAAACACACACACATATACTGCAAGAACACAGTCCTGTTGTCATCATTAACATGAGGGATTAAAACGTGACGGAGCCGAAGTCTATTTTTTTAAAAAGCACTAAATCTAAAATACTCTAGAATCATGTTTGCTCTCCTCTGAGAAGCTGGTCACCGACAGAGACTCACAGTTGCATGCTGGGAAATGGAGTTTTGGGCTTGTTATAAAGTTTGCACTTGGGGTCAAATATGTTTGAAAACAATTTTGTGGGATGACAGAAAAAAAATTTAATGGACAAAATAAAATCGAAAGCAAGTGAGTTACTATTTACAAATGTGCTCTGAGACTCATGACTCGGGTGTATAATGAGAATAATGTTTGTTTCAATAGTTGAATTGAATCTCAATGGAGAGTCTTACGGCTCAGTTTGAGATTCTGTTTTATATGAAGCTCTAGAGCTCAAACTCCTTTATTTCATGCCAGCACTCTTCAGTCTGGCTCACCTGTAAAAACGTGTTGAGTTGATTTTTGGATTTGTCGAGGAACTTCTGGTCGATGGACTTGAAGGGTAGTTTGCTGAGCGAGGGCAGCTGGACCTTCTTGAGCGACGGGAAACACTGCGAAAGAAAGCAAGCGTCGGCCTGTGGTTTGTGTTCGCTCACGCATAATCAGGACTGATGCTGTACACAACAACATGATGAGTCAAGGCGTTGCCACGGCAACAGGATGTGACACCATCAGGCGTACCTCCGTCAACTTCCTGTGCAGAGCCTGAAACTCGCTGATCCTCCTGGTGACGCTCCAGCGGTTGTTCTTGCAGTCGTCGTCTTCAGAAAGACTCACGGATACACAGTAACACGCCGTCTGTTCTCCATTCTCCTCTGAGGCCTGACACACACACACACATTACTGTTTAACAATAGGGATGGATGGATTAAGATGGATGAGTGGATGGATGGATGAGGATGTGGACAGATTAGGATGGATGGATGAGTAGATGGATGAATAGATAAATTGATGGATGGATAAATGGATGGATAAATGGATGGATGGATGACTGAATAAATAAATGGATGGATGAATGAGTGGATGGATTAATGGATGGATGGATGGATGAATAAATGGATGGATGTATAGATAAATGGATGGATGGATGGATGGATGGATGAATGAATAAATGGATGGATGAATAAATGGATGGATGAATGAATAAATAGATGGATGAATAAATGGATGGATGGATGAATGAATAAATAAATGGATGGAAGGATAAATGGATGGATGGATGAATAAATGGATAGATGGATGAATAAATGGATGGATGGATGGATGAATTAATAAATGGATAAATGGATGGATGGATCAATAAATGGATGGATGAATAAATGGATGGATGGATGGATGGATGGATGAATGGAAAAAATGGATGATGGATGAATAAATGGATGGATGGATGAATAAATGGATGGATAAATGGATGGATGGATAAATGGATGGATGGTTGGATGGATGGATGAATGGATGGATAAATGGATGGATGGATGGATGAATGAGTGGATGGATTAATGGATGGATGGATGAATAAATGGATGGATAAATGGATGGATGGATGAATAAATGGATAGATGGATGAATAAATGGATGGATGGATGGATGAATTAATAAATGGATAAATGGATGGATGGATCAATAAATGGATGGATGAATAAATGGATGGATGGATGGATGGATGGATGAATGGAAAAAATGGATGATGGATGAATAAATGGATGGATGGATGAATAAATGGATGGATAAATGGATGGATGGATAAATGGATGGATGGTTGGATGGATGGATGAATGAGTGGATGGATAAATGGATGGATGGATAAATGGATAAATGGATGGATGGATGGATGAATGAGTGGATGGATTAATGGATGGATGGATGAATAAATGGATGGATAAATGGATGGATGCATAAATGGATGGATGGATGGATGGATGAATGGATGGATGGATGAATGGATGAATAAATGGATGGATGGATAGATGGATGGATGGATGAATGAGTGGATGGATTAATGGATGGATGGATGGATGAATGGATGGATGGATGAATGGATGAATAAATGGATGGATGGATAAATGGATGGATGGATGGATGAATGGATGGATGGATGAATGGATGAATAAATGGATGGATGGATAGATGGATGGATGGATGAATAAATGGATGGATGGATGTATAGATAAATGGATGGATGGATGAATGAATAAATGGATGGATGAATGAATGAACGAAAAAATAAATGGATGGAAGGATAAATGGATGGATGAATAGATAAATGGATGGATGAATAAATGGATGGATGAATGTATATATAAATGGATGGATGTATGAATAAATGGATGGATGGATGGATGAATAAATGGATAGATGGATGTATATACTATATATTTATGAAGTATTAGTTTATGTCAAAGTGTCAAAATGAGCGAATGACACTTAACGACAGTTTTCATAAACATGCGTGAACCCTCCATCATATTTTTAACGTGTCATGTCATGATTATGAAGGTGTCATGTCAGTGTTATGCACACCCCTTCAAGTAAAGTGTTACTCTGTGTCACTGTTACTGTAATTCCTCAGTGACATCACAACATTAGCAGGAAGTCACCAGGTTTTCCAGGATTACACGACTGAAAGCATGTGAACACTTTACACAGACGAGCTTAGTAAGAGTTTCTGTCACAGTAATCTGACATGAACTGAGGCATTCATCAGTCTAGTGTCACTACAGTTTCAGTCCGTGGTTTTCACAGGAAGTTCACACCCTTATTTCAGTCGGCGCAGCCGTTTATCTGCAGACCGCAGCGACTGGCTGAGGGTTTATTTTACTACTGATAATTTAAAAATAAAAATCTAAGTAGCGCTTATTACTATTTTGTCAGCCAGTGAAATTCTGGTACTTTTGACACCTATCTATACAGAATTTTTAAATAATACATAGACTATATAAACATATACATATATATATGAAGAGTTCAGATGCAAAAGCCTCTAAGTGCCATTTAAAAATTTTGTTCTAGAATGACCATTTTTATCAAGCTTGTGTATTTAAGTTCAGTAATTTCACTTAAATGACAATTAATAGGTAATCTTCATTCCCATTTAAGTGAAATTACTGAACTTAAATATACAAGCTTGATAAAAATGGTCATTCTAGAACAAAATTTTTAAATGGCACTTAGAGGCTTTTGCATCTGAACTCTTCATATATATATTTTTTTTTTTAAATATGCATGTGTATGCATTAACAGTGTGTGTATTAATTTTTAATTTACTAATGTGTATAGATACTGTAGGTGTCAAAAGTACCAGAATTTCACTGGCTGACAAACTAGTAATAAGCACTACTTATATATAGGTATACACACACACACACAAACACATACAACATGCATACATACATACATACATACATACATATATATATATATATATATATAAATACATACACATATACTGTATATATATATATAAATACACACACATATATATATATATATGAAACAGAACCTGTTTAAAATGAAATCTACTCCTTATGAACTCAGAGGAACACTCATGTTCAATAAACCACAGATTAGAACAAATGTTAAACAGAGATGTCTCGATGATGAACTGAAAACATGTAAATCTATAGGCAGCTTTAAGAAATTGTATATTAAAAAAAGATTACATTATACAAAGCTGAATAAGTTTAGCTTTCCTTTCTTTTAGTTATTATTTTCACAAAATTGTTAAATAAAGGATCGGCATCAGCACAATAAGCATAAGCTTCAGCCGACACCTTTTCGGTCAAGCATCTTTATTATTGTTTATATTGTATTTTCACTTTTGTTTCTATCTTTGTTTGTAAATTTATTTTTGAAACTGACCGAAATAAAAATTATGAAATTATGAAAATGAAAAAAAAATATATATATATAAAAATAAATGCAGGCTTGATGAGCAGACGAGACTTCTTCCAAACTTTTGACTTGAGATTCATTGAGTTGTTTGCTTGTGTAAGGTAACTGAACGTGCGGATGTGTGTTTCTGACCTCTGCGCTGCTGACCACGGCTCTCCACACGCCCAGGTTCTCACACCAGCAGTCGGTGCGCGAGATGTGCAGCGTGAGGTCGCTGTGCTCCTTCTCCATGGTGCAGATCTCCTCCTTCAGCAGAGACACGATCTGCAGGACAGATCATTATACAGCGCTGTTAACTATACTGAGTTTCACAGCAGCTTTACACTGATAACAGGAGATTACAGTCACAGAGAGTGACACAAGTTATTGTCCAGATAAATGATATGCGTATAATCACATGTTTAGTCTATAGATATGTGATAGTCTATATGCGTCTTTCTCTACAAGTTGACCTCAAGAAATTACTTGTCAGGTCTTGTGTCAGGAAATTTGAATTTCATAGATGAAAATCATAGATGTTATCATAACTGTGTCTTGACCATCAGATCCTCATATTCGAGTGATTTCTGACGGATCATGTGACACTGAAGACTGGAGTAATGCTGCTGAACATCACAGGAATAAATTACACTTTACTGTATATTCACATAGAAAACTACTGATTTACATTAGAATAATATTTCAGAATTTTTACAGTATTTTTGATTAAATAAAAGCAGCCCTGGTGAGCAGAAGAGGCGAAAATATCATTCATATATATATATATACAAATATCAGTGTACTGTATAGATCTGTCCATATATATAGAGAGAGCTTTGACATAGTTAATCTGGTTGATTTCTTTTCTTTTGTTTTTGGCTAGTAGAAGTTGTAAATGGCCGGCAACTTAAAAATATTGATGTCAAATTAGATTGGTTTGCAATAAAAGTGCAGTATTTCTCATGAATCACCTTTTTATCGGGCCGGGGAGCGTTCTGGATGGAGCCGAGCGCTTGGCGTTTGTACTCCAGTCTCTCGTACAGCTGGTGAAGTTTGGTGACGGCGTAACTGGCCTGTTCGTTGATGCCTCGACTGCCTTCGTCCAGGACCACGTCCGCTCCGTCCATCACATGACACTGAACACACACAAACACACATCAGGACTGAGCGTCGGCGTGTGGAAGCCAGACTCGCGTCGTGTTGAAGAGGACACGACTAGAAATACAGGAGTACACTGGAGACAAGTCATTTGGCGATGTCACTTTGTAAAGACAGACACGCCTGCGTATGGAATGCCAAAGCTGACTTGATTTAAAATAAATAAATAAATACAGAAATAAATATACAATTTTTTTTTTAAAAAGCACAAATAAATGAGTATTTATACTTTTATTTCCTTATTTATATATAGCTAATTGTATTTTTCACACATTTATTCATTTAACCCTCTGATGGTCCTCGGTCACTTCTGACCGAATAATTTTCTGTTTTGAATTATTAAAAATCACAGCTTCATCGGAAGGTTATGATACTTGGTGACTTTTTTGGCATTTGGTATGTGAATACAAAAAAAAATTGAGGTCATGATCCGAGCATGATAAGTGTCGTAAAAAAATTAGTCACACTCGTGGTCTTCGGTCAGAAATGACCGACCCATAGGAAATGAATGAGAAATTTAAAAAAAAATAAAAAATCCTCTGAATTTTTGTTTGTACAATCTACAAATCAGCCACGATTCGTAAAAGAAGTACACTGCAGTAAAGGGGTGACACTCTACAACATACAGAGTGCAAAAAATGTACAACCACCCACACACACACACATACAAACACACTTTTATACACATA